GAAAAAATTACATACACAAATAAGAATGTGAAGCTGTGATTACATGAACTTAGAGAGGGAAGAATGTTCGCAAAATCAAGTGAATTACCTTGTAATTTTTGCTTTTGTTTTAATAAGACCACCTTTTTTACAATCTAGAAACTTCTATGATTCAGTTGATTATGAAATTGTAAATCTGTGTTTTCAACTGTTATTGTTTGCATTTTCTCCGTAAAGGATGATTTTTAGTTATTTTTGTGCACATTTTAATTCTGTCTTACAATTCCATGAGTGAATCGCATGTTTTCTTACTAATAAATGAGTAACGCTTGCTCTCCTGTCCTTCTTGTCACTGCACCTGAAAACACAGGTTATTTTGCAGAGTTCCCTGTGTACTGTGGAAGTTTTCTTTTACTTTTCATTCTTCACGGCAATAAAATGACATGAAATGTACTTGCTCTGGACCAGGTTGCATTTGTCCTTGTTGTACTACAAAACACCATTTTGGGGATGATTACAAAAAGGCTGTCGAAGGCCACAGTGTTCCCTGTAATGCCAGATTTAAATGCTGGGTCAGGTTCCATGAGGTTCTAAGGATCTTCTGAAATGGCCAAATTGGCTTGAATTTTCATTAATTGAGTGGCAGCCAAATGCTCAGCACCAGGATGGTGAGGACTGGTCACCTGGCTGCACCTCGCGGAGTGTCTTGGGTTTGTTTCTTGAAGCCGCCTCATGGGGCTGGAGGAAGTTGGTTGACACAGCCCTGTGACACATCAAAGCCTCCTCGGAAGGATGTGAATATTTGGTTATTTGGTCAGGTGCATATTCGGCTCATCTGGCCTCAAAGCCGCAAGTGTAGCCAGCAAGCAGAGATGAGTCTGAAGGAAGCAGCTTTGTGAGAATAAGGAATAGTTTAAATGCTTTCTCATCCCTTTCGTTGTCATCCTTTTTGAACTGATGGTAGGATTCTGCCTTTTGAAGTCATTTTGTAATGTGGGATATTTAGAAAAGGCTGAATAGTGTCATATTAATCTTTAAAGACAAAACCATTTAATGCAGGTGGAGTTATATTGTTTTAAGATGAAAGCTTCTGTTTAATGAGAGATTTGGGACCCATAAGATTTCCGTGAATTAAAATTTTTATCTTAAGAATAAAGTTTAATTTAATCATATCTCAGTGTGCAAATATTCAAATATATTCATTTTTCCAAAATCATTATGTACAGCTATACAAATATAATTATATCTATTTCAACCAATTGTTTTAAAAAAATCGTATCTGGTTCAGCAAATGAAATTGTATTAAAGTTCAACAAGAACTTAAGCATTTCTTATATTTCCTAAAAAAGTTTAGATCGTTTTAAATAGCGTTAGGCAGCATCTGTATGAAAAGAGTGTAAATAGATATAAAAACTATCTTCATGAAAGTTATTATGTGATAGATATGGTTCAAAAAGCTATTCTGACAATTGCAGTATGAAGAAATCTAAAATCAAAACATTGTAATGTAAGTTTCATAGATAGGGCAAACTTCAATTTATGTAATGTTTTTGTTTAAGTTATAAAACTTTGACGGTTGAATCATAAATAATACTTGAGTCATTAATTCCTATTGCATACCTTTTTAAATAAAGCTAAACAGAGGAAGTTCTTAACTAAATTTTATGCACATTTATGAGTTTTTCTGGTAAGTGTGAAGAATGATATGATAGATTGGAAGCCTGACAGGGTGATTTTAAATCCCTTTAATTGGAAGAACATTATTTTAAGAGGGGACCGGAATCAGGATTTAGACTTGTTCTGTCAACGGCTTGCACAGAGAGTTCTTGGTAGGAATATTCAGACTGTAAAGAAAGGTGTATACGTCCTGAGCACCCATGTTTCAAAGTGTGGATGTCGTGTATGTCTCAGCAAAGAAGCTATCAACTGCCTTCTCTCCTTTACTAGACTTTTTCCTTTTTTCTGAAATCCCATGTGATTAACTGAGCGTTTAACAAATCGTCTTTCAAAACTTTTGCATATCCAGGCACTTTATTACCAGTAGAGAAATATCGAGAGCTTCTGAAGATTTGCTGCCTCTGTGTAATGTTTTCCTCTGACTTTTTTCCCCAGTTGTAATAAGAATGCCACATTAAACTGGAATTTCTACCACCCGGGGTCATATACTACTACCTGCTTTCATCTACCTGCTACTATCTGCTTTTTTTAGCTATGAAAATTTTATATTTCATCATTTAGTCCTGTGAGATCTAAGTACTTTTTGAAGGCAGCTCCTTTGATAGATATCAGTCTCTATTATTTTATGCACTAGTGTGGGTTCTTTTTAAAGTGGCTTGTTAAAGTATTTTGAACTTTTACCACAGATTTTGGATAGAAAGAATAATGAAATAGAGGTATTGAAGACCCTCTACAAAACCAAGCAAAATGAAGCTGAGGAAACTATTAGAAAACTGGAGAAAAAAGGTGATTTTTTTTTTTTTCTTCCTTCACACTTGTTCTTTGTACAGCCTGGCAATGTTGTACTGCATCATGCTTATAACGATGAGCCATTTTCCCTTTTAGGTGCACATGTGCTCTTTTTGTGTTCTCAAGCTGCGTGTAATGTCTTGCCCTAATTTTTCCTTTAGGTTTTAGGAGCTTGTCTGGTTGTCTTTGCTCTCTCTAGTGTCTAAACCAAGTTTTCCAAGAGACAGTGCAAAGTTATTAACACTAACAGGTTTTATGAGAGCAAAAAAAATGTTGGTATTTTAACTACTAATTTCAAAATTTTTAGAATCTCTGGTTGAGGATTAATTTATTTATACATTCAGTACTTTAATCAAATCTTGATGTATTATTTATATAGGACTATGGGGGCAGGAGATTTCAAACACAAGTAGCGGTCTTGAATACATTTCAAGTACAAAACTAGGCCTGTTTGGGTGTGGTTTATTTTGGAATATTCGTTTCTTTTATAATTTCTTGAAGTATGTTTACTCTGCAGACTAAACCACAACTTAAAATAGATACCCAAGCTTGGCAACCTGGGTACTAGGAATGAGAGAGTTCCATGTAAACTAATGTTCTCTGCTCCGTGGTAAATAAATCAGCCTATAAGGCTGGTTCTGCTGCTGCTGGGAGCTTGTCTGGTGTGCTCGCCTGTAGCAGGTCACCTTCTGACAGCCATGGAGGTGACCAGAAGAGATACTGGAAAATATCAGTCACTTTTGAAAATAATAAAGCCAGGAAACAGCAAAATAATTAGAGAATGCTTTGTGTTATTTCAATAGCACTGAATGTAAGTGCAGAATTTTTTTAAAGACATGTATACATACATGAGATATTTTTAAGAGCAGAAAAACATCAGAAAGCAGAGCCATTTGGAAAACTGGTGTAATCAGATTGCATCTGTTGCCAACACTGAATAAATCTCACTAGTGCCTCTTGAATGGTTGTTTATTTCCCCACTTTTTGACAGTTCAGACCCTTGTTCGTGAGTCACAAGTTGTCAGAGAAGCAAAGGAAAAGCAGATTGCGGAGTTAAAGAAGATGTGTGAGCAAAGCGCTGATTCTTTGAACAACGAGTGGGAGAAAAGGGTAATGAATAATGCTTGTTTTGTTTGAAAGGCTTCTACAGTGTATATCGAGGGTAATGCATTTTATCATTAAAATACATAAATAAAAGGAGTGTTACTTTTAGTGCTACTTTGCTGTATTCATTTAACTTCTTCCTGGAATAATCTTGCCAGGTTCTTTTTGCTGAGTTTTTTGTGCCCGCACCCCATGTTCACTCAAGGAGCTGTTCCTGCGCTTCAGCTGGTCCCTCCTGGCAAGTCCCTTCCTTTCCTAGGGAAGTGTTTATTTGTGCTTGACCTGACATGGAATTTTAATCTAAGTAAACCTGCTGCTACCTGCTGCCACAGTGATTTCTCTGTGCTGTTATTTTTGGATTGGGTCATGAATTCTTCAGTGTATTTTTATTTATTGTTAGACTCAAGGCAGCAGCAAAGTGGAGTAGAACATGTTTCCTGCAATACGGCTTTAGCTTTGCCCAGGGTATTGCCTGGTTTTGCCTCCTTTACCCCTCAGGAGAAGGGAGGAGGGTCACAAAAAGGGCAAAACATCTCCTGTATGCTCTTTAGCTTTCTTGTTGTTGTTATTTTATTCTTTGCTGTCCTACACCTAGAAGTGATGTTACTTTTCATTCTCGTCTTGTAAGAGAGAAATAAATCTCCTTCTTTGTACAGAAGACCTTGGGGCTTCAGGTTTAGCTTTTTGATTTTAGAAAAATGGTATTTTCAGCCTGAGGTCCTCCAATTTGTTCTTTGTAGCTACCTAACAAGGGCTGTTCCTACAGCTGTCATCATTATTGGTGATGCCAGTATGGCAGCAAGAAGCCAAATAAAGATGCCAATTTTTAAGTGAAATTGGAACATATATTTCCTTTATAATTCTGACTAACCATCTTTTTCCATAAGATGTAAGTTGACAGTAAAATATTTTTATAAATTTATATCGCTTTCTTTTGAGTGTTTTTCTTTCGCCTAGATGGTCTGAATCCAAACAGTTGTGTGATATAAGTTGCAATGAGATTTTAAAATATGAAACACTTAGGTTTTCTTCTATGACCTTTTTCTTCCCTCTTTGCATGTAGGAATAGCAATATTATTTTTTTTCATAATTGAGAAAATTCTTACGTAGCAGTCTGAAGACTATCTAATTTACCTCTGGTAATGAAACCTGAGCTGGTGATAATATTTTAGCTGCTTTCAGCATTGAGGTGTTCCATGCATTGTTTAGATATTAAATTTTTTGGTAAGTGCTACAAATACCATTGTGTAATTGCCATCTATAGATCTTATACACTTGCAGATTTTTTTAAAAAAGTTTATTTTTAAAAACATCTCAAATTTGGCAAAGCTTCCCTCTTACAGTTCTGATGAAAATTCTTATAAAGTTTCTGCAGGCTGGTTCAGATTCAGACAGCTCCATAAATTTGCATGATACAAAATACTTGGTTGGGAAGTAGGTGGAATAACCATCTCCTAATCTGTAAGGTGGAGAGAGAACCTGTATTTGTGTAAATTGGCCTGTTTTAGTAATATGCTTGGAATTATGTTTTCACTTTGTCCATCACAGCTTTCTCCTTCAGCAATACCTATAAATGAAATGCATTTGTTTGAAACTTGAGTGATATGCAAAAGCTCTTACACAATCAACACCTGCAAGTTTTGTATGTTTTAACACACCACTAGTATTTATTATTGTATAGAATGCAGATTGGTATCTGCTTATCTGGGAAGTGATATCACTACCATTAAGAATTGAAATCAAGGGCTAGTAATGGTGCAAAGAATTTTAACTACCTATTTATTTAATTAAAAATTCTTCCCCTTTTTATAAATTGAGATGTTAGTGAATGGGTTACATAGGTATCTGAAGAGTGTTAATGTTTCGATAATAGAAGTTCATCAATTTTACATAACATTTGCTGATGTTCAGTTTTAATATGTAAACAATATCAGAACATGGCAAAAATACATAGGTTTTTTTAGCCTTCTGTAAGGCGGATGGATAAGTTATGCCCTCTGTTTTTGAAATTACCACTTTCTAGAGTCAGAACAAACTTACTAAATGAGCAAATGGTATGATTTTGTACTACAGCATAGACCGTGGCATGCATTCATCATTTATTCTCTATATACATGTAACGTATTTATAAATGCTAGTTTTATGCTATTTAGTATTTCGTAATATTTCTTGTGATGCAGCTTCACAATGCTGTGGCTGAAATGGAAAAGGAGAAGTTTAATATTCAGAAGAAACACACAGAAAATATTCAAGAACTGCTTGAGGACACCAATGTTCGTCTTAGCAAAATGGAGGAAGAATATTTGGAACAGATCAAGTCAACTGTATGTTTTTTGATGAACATTTAATTCCTTCTCTCTCTGAGATACCCTTTCTAGTGTTTCTGTATGTTGGATGTCAAATCAAATTTGTGTCCACCAGAAGTCCTGTATTCGAGTGATGGTCGCACAGGCAGACACGTGCATGTGACTGCCACTGAATCAACTGAAATGGAAATGAATTCTTCCCACATCAGAATTGCACGGGAAGGCGCACATCGAGTCAGAGCCTTTTTGTTGCAAAGGTGCACAAAATCTCAGGAGTAGGTGTAGTGTCAGATATAAACTAGCTTGCTCTGTAAATTGCAAAAACAAAAACAAGTATTAGTAAAAATGAAAAAGTCTCCTCAATAAAACATCCTGTTCTTTTTATAAGTCTGAGAAATGAGGAGAACTGAATGAGTGGAAGGCCAATGTCACACAAACTTTATTCTCTTTTTAACGAATGTTATATTTCAAAATTAGCATTCAGATCATGTTATAGGCACCGGTAAATACAGAGAAAAATGGACACAGTCTGTCAGCAAGATTGAATTTAAGAACCATCAAAACTAGACAGATCTTGCTGAGCAGCTTCTGATTTAATAATTAAACAAGGTAGAGTTCAAGGCAGGGCTTAAGATGAAAGACTAGACTGTCACTGAAAATTAGTTGTTTTTTCTCTCTTTTTTTTCTCTTTCTTTTTTGTTGTTGTTGTAATTTCAGAGTTCTTTCCCTGTTTAGCGTTTTGCATGGTCAAGAACACTACTGTTATTAGCAAGTAATAATCACATGATTGATTTAACAGCACTGTAGAACTGCTAAGTGTGGTTTGGATTTATTTTGTCCATGGAACAAGTATCAAATTCCTCGGGGGAAGAAATTAGGATGCGTAGGACTAGTTATGAGGCCTGCATGGTTTGTCATTAATAATTGCAAAAGTGACAGTACTGGTAACTTGAAAAATCTCTGATCTGTATCCCTCGAAGTAGTGTTAGACATTTGTATTTTGGAGTGTGTGTACACACTCACACACTATATATATATTTGTATGTGTGTGTATATATATGTGTGTGGGTGTGTATATGAGTGTGTGACACAGAATTGGTGTCATGATTGATTACAGCTTTGCTATTATAACTCTTGTGTCTTCGGACCACCAAAGAACCTTGTTGCTCCAGGCTACCGAGCGACTGCAGGGGTGTACACTAATTTATTCGAGTGGTTTCTTAACAATGACCTATTTTTTTAGAACCAGATGGTCAAAGAACTGGAGGCTCGTGTCCAACAGTTGACTGTGGAGGCTGAAAATAGTAATTTACAGCGTCAAAAACTATCTCAGGAGAAGATTGATGCAGAGCAATGCTACCAGGCAGTATGCTCTGAACTGCAGGAAGTGAAAGTAAGGTAATTAAATAGTGGTCGCTGCTTTTAGCTTTGAGGAGAATTGCCAAAACTAAACAATACTTGTTTTATTTCAAGAACCCAGTGAATGCTAACTGGCATTAACAAATTTTCATAAAAATCTGTTAATGCAAAAACTGTTTTGGGGACTGACCAGTGCGTCCTAAGTATGTTATCTTTCCGTTATTTGAACATGTCTCATTCCATTACAGTGAGCGCATGGAACAGTCAGACTTGCCTGCTCTGTGCAATTGATACAGAACAGGTAATATGAATAAAAAAATATGAAAGCAATTTCCATATTTTGTTTGCTTACTACTTGTAGACACAGCTCACTTCAGAAAGACAGGGACCGTATTATACAGGAATATGAGGAGAAAATTCAGCAACTACAAAGCAAATATGATGTCGATATAAGTTTTTTAAAACAGGAACACGCTCTCTCTGCAGCTAAGGTATGTTTCTGTGTATAATAAGCATTAAAATGCTTGCTTACAAGTTGTTTATTTTTGAACTGGTCTCTTCGCTGTTATAAATGTGAAATGCATGTGAATAAATCCAGGGAACTGTGCTGTTGCCTAAGCTGTCTGTGTGCACGACTTTAAAAATGGTGATTTAAGTTTTCGTTGTAAAATTGAAAAAAATATCTGAAGTTGACAGAGATGAAAGTGGAGGTGGGGACAATGTGTATGTGTGCTTGCATGTGGTGTATTCGTGGCTGGTTCAGCTGAGTTCAGGATACCAAAGAACTCCGGCACACTTAAAGACTTAGTGATTTCATAAGACATTTTTAGCAGATTATTTCTGGGAACATATCTTTCCTCAGGCATTTGAAGACAAGTTTTCGTGTTTATCTGTGCTATGGAATATTCTGTCAAATATTTATTTAAAAATAATTTAAAATTCCATAAATACAAATTTTCCCAAAATGCAATAAATCATTTTTTTCTATTAAAAATTAGAAAATAGTTCTTTCAGGTGCTAATGTCAAGATGATGAGTTTGTTTATTTTACTGTGGGTTTTGCTTACAGTTTTAAGTTGAACAAGGTAACAGAAGTGAAATAGCTGGACTTGGGAACTGGCTCGGGAACTTTTCCCAAGCTGATTCAAGGCAACTTTGGAAGGTAAATTTAAAAAAGGTCAAGCTTGTATCTATAATGCAGACTGTAAGACAAAAATTCCTTCTTCTATTAAATCCCTGCAGGCATCCAACGTGATTGAAGAGTTAGAACATAACGTGTCTCTGTTAAAACAACAGTTGCAAGAATCAGAACATCAAAAGCAGCAACAGCTGAGGGTGAGCCCTGATTTAGTTATTTATAATGTTTAACCTTTTTGCAATATTTAGATAACCAAACTAAATATGCTTAGCTGCATATTGTATCTGAGGCTGAATAAAAAGTATTGATTAAGACAGATCACTATGGGCAAGAACAGAATTTTTGCAGGAACTTTTTGACTATTTGTATTAAATATATTTTAAACCTGAAGAAATGTGTGTCAGTGAGTTATAGAGAAGTGAAAGAAAAAGGGATTTTTTAAATTTAAAATATGCATTTCTATTCACAGGATCAAGACTACAAATTTCAACAGGACAAGCTTCACTTGGAACGTGTGTATGAAAAACAGGTAGTGTTTTAACGTTAAACATTATTCACTTCTCCAAGTTTGTGTGCAGGCACGATGATGTTGAAATTCTGATGTCCTGTACCTCCTGTTAATAAATATGGAGCAGACTGAGGTTATGTAAATAATGAAACCAAACACCCACTATGAAAATAATCAGCTTTTAAGAAGTGATGAACATGTGAAAATATTTAGGAAAAATGTAGTGTTGCTGTCTGCTTGTCCTCTTATACTCTGCTCTGGCATCTAATATTATCTACTGTTACAGCAAAATACTACTGAGTAAGTTAAGTTGAACTTGGCCTGATCTGTTGCCACTGTTCCTGCGTTCTTCCATACTACTTTCTTCCAATATATCTTTATTCCTTTTTTCTTCTGGAGTTTGAATGTGTTCTCTTAATTGCTGACATGCATTGTCACTGCTCAAAAACTAGCTACTGCTAGGTTTGCTAGTAAAACCTCTAGTTAAAAAGAAAGAGGGACTGCCATTACTGAGGAAATTTGTCATTTGACTCCTCTAATAGATAAGTGTATTTCATTAGGCCTATGACTGTATATCAGTAAAAATTAAATAAAATAAAACCTTCATTTTTGGTAGATAACTATACTATGCATATTCAGAGATGTTGATGTAACTGTGCTTTGGAAATAAAATCTTAGAGAGCAGAGGAATAAATGCATGTGGGTGAACTATTGCTATAAATCTATAAAACAGTATGGACTGGGCCATAAAATACTAAAAAAGAGGTTATCTTCAAGTCAGGGAATAAGGAATTCTCTGGTGCAATCTGTTCGCTTAAATACTTCCCCATTATCTAATAATCTTTATTAGTCTACAGCAACTATTCCCTACTAGGATATTTCAACATCAAACAAATAATAGGTAGTAACCCTAAATGTCACTGTTTGATTAAATGTCTTATCTGCTGAATCAGGAACAGTTAGACTAAATGGTTTTACAAGCCAGGAAACACCTGCTTTTTGCAAATAATCTACTTTTTGTTTTCCAAACATTCAGCTAAGCCTAAGAACAGTGACAATTTATTACTGAGAGCCATTTCTGCAGCAGCTGTTAAATATATTTTACTTGATCATAACTAGTAATACCATCTTACATGCTGATGAACTTCAGTTTTGAGACTGTTTCAGACCAACAGAGTAATCATGGTACTATTGAGTTAACAGCTATATGGAATCACTTACACATGAGAGTCTCTAAATTGTTCTTTGTTTTTTTCATTGGAAATATAAATATCTTGTGCTGTGTGTGCAATCCTGTGTCACTCTTGCTGGGTAGTAACTTAGTTCTTCAGTTGCAATTCACTTTTTCTCAGAAAATTTGCATATCCACCTTCAGCTGGTTAATATTTGAGTACGTACTATTCTCAAGGAATCTTATTTATCATATGTGGTAGGATTTTTGTTAAAAGAAATGATAAAAAAGTGTGAATTCTGCATCGTAAAATAATACATGTCATTATTTTAGACGTATGTCTGTTATTCTTCTAATGAAGAATATAGTTTCTTTTAATACAATTACTGATTGTTCTGTTTTTCAGTGAATAATATTCATTTTGACAAGCAGCAAAATAACTAAATTGACCATATTCTCATGCTTCATCTCTCCATTAATATTTGTTCTTGCAGTTTTTTCTTGCATTCTCTATGACTTTAGAACATAGACAACATGTCTCTAGCAATACAAAATAAATGTTTAAAGTAAATAGCCTTTATAATTCAGAATAATGGTAATTCATTCCATCAGACTTTGTTTTAGCTATAATGCAGTATTTTTCCCTTCGAATGGTAGATTCATGGCATTCGGAACGATCTTGACAAAGAAAGAGGCGATGCTCAAAAGAAAATTCGCAAACTGGAAGAGACTTTGAAGTAAGTGGCAAATGCAATAGTTGTTCCAGCATCCCCAAATTTTTAGCCAAACTTATTAAATAGACATATCCTTTGTATTGTCTTGTCTAATAGCCAATAGATTGTGTGGGTAACCTTTCAATTATAAAGACATATCTCCAGGGTCTGTTCAGCCATAAAAATTAAAAAGCAAAGCAAAGTTGAAAGAGCTAAGTGGGGTGTTGCGTATATATTGTACAAACACTGTTCAGTGCTTAAGGTTTGGGAGAAACCAGGAGAGGGGCAAGTCTTAAAATATCTCAGAAATTATATTTGAATTAATCATATGATAGAGTGATTTTTTTTTGGAAAAAAAAAAAACCTCTATAAATTAATGTGGATTTTCCCTTCTCTTCATTACCTTCTTGTATGCCTATCTCTTTGTAATGCAAGTGACTAGAACAGCTGTAAACCTTCACAATATCTGAATCAAAGCAAAGGAGGGAAAGCACATGGGCGGGCCAAGAAAATTCAATATCATGAAAAATATTTCAGTTCATTTTGAATGTCATGATGCTATGCTCTTGGGATGTAGAAATTCTGGAATTTAATTTCTCAGAACTACATCCCATTAAGAACTCTTCTTATTCACTAACCAGGCCCTGTCAACAATGTCTAAACAATTGTGTATTATTTTGACAAAGTTGGTGAATGCGTAGATGCATATATTTGGAGGAAATTAAAATAATAATAAAGACACTGGGAGGACACTGCTCTCCCTACAACGGATGCCTGTGCAGTTCAGGAGTTAAGGGAGTCATGTAGGACTTGCCTGGGTCTTGATGAGCAGCATCTGCTTCCTTGAGAGTATTGCTGCTCATTTAGCGTGCTTTCTTTTCTTAGAATTCTGCTTTCCAGAAGACTCTGGGATATAAATGGAAGAAATGGACAATAGCAAATGATATATTCCCTGAGAATCTCATCTCCAAACAGTTGGCTCTGCAAAGTAGGGCTCTTATAAATTTCAGCAGTGGGACTGCTTCGTTAGACCAGCCAGTGGCATCTACAATGCAAAGTAAATTTATGTGATGCAAAGTGTGCAGAGACTCGTTAATTTTGTGACTTATGAGCCATTCTTAAAGCATCTAAAACTGTTTCCCATTAATGGTTAACCTTAATTAGCTGTCTTAGTGACATAAACTGGAGATATAAATCTGACTATGTAAACTGGGTGCTCAAAACTCCTTCATTATCTTAAAAGCACAAGGCCTCTGGAGTAGTCTTGAAGGGTAGGATGGAGAAAGCTGCAATTTTTTATGATTTTGGTCGTACCAGTTGTGTGACACTGCTATGGAGTGCCTTATTTCCATATTTGCACCTATTTTTTTGTTGGGGGAACTAGCTGGTTCTCAAATGAATTCACATGAAATATTGAATTGGACCTTGCAATTAAGTTATGCAGATAGATTCATCTTTACTATTGAATCAATGTAAAGTAGGTCACGTAATTCTCAGTCAAATGTTGATACAGAGTAGTTAGCACGTTGTAAATTCTAAGTTAACTTTGAAATTAATGTCTCCTGGGAAAGTATGTTTGTAAATGAAAAATTTGTTATAGCGATTTGATTTTAACTCATATGCACTCTGCTACAGATAATGGCATTTCACTCTCCTAATTCAAAGTGGAAAATTTCTTCCTGTTTAATAATGGTAATGATATGCTATAGTACTTTTGGTTTATGAGTGTGATTTGAGGTTTACTTTATGATGTATAGTAATTATTTTGTCATTGAATAGAAAAAGAAATTGGCTTCCATTCTTATTTTTGTCTGCATGAATGGAGTCAGGAATGTTCCTGAAGATTCAAAACTACCTTACCTGGAGGAGAATAGCCCCTGAGTCTAATACAGGTGAATATTCTGCAGACCTGCTCCTCCAGGCTCTAGCTCTGGGCTGTTGGCTCCCAGGAAAGGCTCTGTGTGAGCTCTGCCCTTTGAAACTGGATGAGCCCCTAAAAATCTTTCCCAAGAAGGTGTTTTGGTGTGAGAAGCACCAATGTCTCCGATGGTCCTGTCGGCCTCTAGTACCCAAGGAAGCGATAGCAGCTGTAGAAAGTACAAGTGGGAGCTCTAAATGGCTTATTGCAGGGATAGGGGCAGATTCCCCGCTTCGGCCTCGGCGCATCCTGATCGGAGATGTGGCAGTGCCCAGCAGCGATAAGAGCAGCCCTGCTGCCTGCCCGCTGTGGAAGAACTGCCAATCCTGCACGGCTTCTTTGCTGCAAGCACTGCCAGGGGATCAGGACACTATTAAGATTTTTATATGGGCATATTTATATATGATATGTTTGTGTGCAAACAGTGAGTAATAAATGGTACCATTTTGTATATTTTAGAGAAATAGATGTCCTCACCTTTTTCCCTTGTTGCAAAAATTGAGTCCTTTAGGTAGTTTCTGGTTATTAATTAGAAATTAGTCACCTTTTATGTGAAATGCTTTATTCTGTTCTATTGCTTTGACTATTTGCAGAATAAAACTAAGTAACAAGCTAAGGCAGGCAGGCACAGTAAGCCTGTTTAGAACGAACTTATCTTCCTTGAGATGGGTGAAAATAAAGTTCACCATCTTCAAACAGAAACTGTGCCGTGTGGAATTGCAGCTCCGAAGCTGGTAGGTACAGCCGTGATTTCTCCTAAGCCCCTTTGATCTGAGTGCGCTTTGATTCCGACACGGCCACGGGATGGAACCTGGAGGAGCGAGTGAACAGCAGGCACAGGGCAAGGGACGTGGTTGGGGACCCCGAGCCCCCGGTGCTGTGACAGCTGACGCTGCTGCCGTGCCCAGCACATCCACAGCGATGCAAAGCGAAAGGGGCTGGAGGCATAAAATCCGCATTTCTGAAAGCATAATTCAGTTCAGATACGTAGGTAGTATTGCCGCAGTTTTAATGTTGAGTGGGAGTTTGTGTAGTTTATGCAAGTTCTTTTTTTCTGAAGTTTATGGTGAGAATCTTTGTCAGAAATAAATCTTTTGCAAAACAATTGCTGTAATATTCATGGCTATTGTTATTGACTTCTGCATATAAAATTTATATTTAGCTTAGGCAATATATGTCATAGCTCTTGCCTAATAGCAAAAAGACTTCAAGAAGTGCTCAATGGATTTTTTTTTGTACTCATTTTAAAATGCATTTATATAACAGCAATCTTCTATGTAAAGGCTTCTGTGTAATTACTTGGCGAGAAAGGTTGTTCCTCTTAATCCCTTTAGTTTGCTTGCATAAAATTTGTCATGAGAGTGGGTTACACATTGGCTAAGTCTCTGTGTTTCTTATCCCTTTTATTTTGCATAATAAATTAGAAGCACATGTGAGAGATGAGCCTGTTGGCTTTGGGTCACCTCCCCAACGTCTCCGTGTCTGTCACCTGCATGGCCATGCAAGACTCGTGGCTGCTTTCTTGGAGTGCTGGGATCTCATTTAAAGCTTTTCAGTTTATCTCTTGGACAAAGCAATATTTTAATTAGGTTACTAAAAGAGGGCTTTCATGACATCTTACTCTTCTAACCTGTACTATGATTGAAGGGAACAAATTTTCTTTAAGAAATGGGATTGAATGTTGGGCTGTCATGGAATTAGTGCACCTCATCTGCAGTTAAACGCTTCATACCATTCTTTGTCTCAATTCTTGGCATTTTTTAAACCTGCTTAGGAGGCCAAATCTCAGCCCTTTGCAAGTGGTGATGATACGGAGCAAATGCTCAGCAGCTGCTTTATTGAAAGTCACTCAGTAAAATTGTTTATTTACATAAGCAAGTAGCAACAGCACTTTTTTTTCATTGCTTCTCTACTTCTCATTTGAACTTGCTTAAAACTCTTCTTGGAGGAAAAAGGGGTTAAAGATTCCAGAAACTAACAATGCCATTCCTATCAGTTCAGTTATGTTTTTACCACATTTACTAAAACATGCACATTTTTCACTGCCTTTTCTGATCTATTTTAGATGTTAGGCCAAAAATTTTCAGGCAAAATCTTTTCCATCAAAGCCACGGTATGTGGAGGAGTGTATATGTAGAAGTTCAGTAAAAATAAGCAATAATAATAGTATAACTTTCTTCTTCCATATATAGTTGTGTACGTGCCCTCATTTTCTTTGGAAATCCTTGACATGAGATTCAAAATTAAGAAGTTGGTTTCTTTGCAAGAGCGGGGCCATAGGCTTGCTGCACGGTACTTTTAAAACACTCCTGTTTACTTCAGTAATTCTTCTTCTTCCAAATATCATAGCTGTATCTATTCTTCACACCTCCACCTGTTGATGCTTGAATCCACTCTTTCTAGTGACTTTAAGTGTAGTTCAGTGTCACTGCTGTATGTTTTAAATTTTCATACATTGCACAAGTGTTAGTGCTACAAGATTCTGTCTCCTAGAGAGTTATCTGATGAACAAAGGAGCTCCGATCTCGGGGTTCCTGTCTCCCCAACAGGGAGGTTGGTGGGTCTGATGTTCATCTGACCCTGATCCAAAGTTGGGCAGCAGTAGCAAAGAGCACATGCCATGGTCCTTCTGGCATGGATTCTGCTGAGGTCCATAGGTTCTCTGGTAATCACTGAAATTCAGAGATAGCCCAAAAGTGGGACCAGTAAGATTCAGAACTGTGCCTTGCATGGTTTTTCTGCTTCTTATGCAGAGCTTGGGAAGGTTTGTTGGGAAATCTCAGGCAAGGTCTTAAAGAAATTTTGGGTTAGTTCTGTCTCTTGTCATGAAGAGTTAGTTCAAGTTGGTTGTTTTATGGATGTTGAATTGTGGAAGGCAGGAGTTCAGAAATGGATCTTTATGTATTTGGGGCAATGGCTCTCAAGCCTTCTGCTTGACTGATCAGTGGTGTAGGATTTGACTTGATGCTCAAGAGAAACCCTTTGTTTAAATAATAAATAAATAAGCTTCCTTAATGTCAACCTCCACCTTTTGTACTCCTCTGTTGTTTTCTATTCAACAGATCAATAAGATGATAAATAAATACATGGAATAATAGCTTTAATT